TATAGCGACAGTCCATTTGCTGGTCTCCGAAGAATGGCAAACAGAGCATAGGAACTCCTGCAGTAATGCTCTCAACTGTTGAATTCCAACCGCTGTGCGTTAAAAATCCTCCAACTGATGGGTGGTTAAGGACTTGCTCTTGTGGGCACCACCCAGCTATTAGACTTCTTTCCTTAGTTTCAGCCACAAATTCTGGCGGCAAAATAGCGGATTCTCCAATAACTAGATCAGGTCTAATTACCCAAAAGAATGGAAGCTTGCTATTTGCAAGTCCCCACCCAAACTCCACAAGTTGTTCTAGTGTCACGACTGCTATACTGCCGAAATTCACATAGACAACTGAGTTTGGTGCCTTTGTGTTTAGCCACTCGACGCATTCAGTTTCTTCTTTCCATAGACTGTATCCCATTTTCAAAGGGTGTTCTGGTATGTGATTGAGATGCAATTGAAGAGGGCCAATGGTGTACACATGGGAAAGCATAGATGAGAGAGCGTCCAAAACATCTGGCTCCAAGGCATCAAAAGTATGAAGAACAACTGCTGAAGCTTCATGAGCTCTGTCGGTTTCTTCCATGATGAAGTTAAACATGATATCATCCGAATTTGTGGTTCTCAAGAAGGTCGGGAGATCCCTCAAACGGATATCTCTCATTCCCGGGATCCAATCTATTACCGTTTCCAGATAGCCATTTGTGAAACAGCTCTCATCTGCAATAGACAAATGAAATTCAATTGAATAAACATTTCATTTGCATGTTTAGAAACAACAATTGCTTTTATTCATAGTTATGTATTTCACCTTTGAGTGGAGCAAGTCCTTTTTCGACCACAGTGCGAAGTTGTTTAAATCCCATGAAGCTGCAGGCAGCTATAGTGTAGAACAGCACTACAGGGGCTCCAATTTCTTCAGCAACTATGATTGTGAACGTGGACATGAAACCATCTGAAACTATGCAAGTCACTGGAGGATTGCTGGATGTTTCTATGGCATCATTGTTGAGTTTTGCAAGGAGGGTATGAAAGGGAGCCAAGAAATTTTTTCTGACGGACTCACAAAGCAAAGTGAGATCTTGTGTGGTGTCTTCATTTGAATCTGGAAGGCTATCCGGGATGGCTTCGAATTGAAAATCAGGCAAGCCATCAAGGGAATTGGGTCCTAAAGATTTAAGAAAGCGCTTGTGATTGAACTCTGTGTTAACAAAGGTTATATGAAAACCTCTACGGTGGAGGAGCTTTGCAAATTTAAGCATTGCCTTTATATGGCTTTGAGCAGGGAATGGAATGCAAACAGCATGTGGCTTAGTAGCTACTTCTGTGGAATCCATCTGAGCTTTTGTGTGTGCATTGCAGTGCTTGCAAATGCAGATTATTTATAAAGCAAAACTGAGCTACTTTTCAATGTGTCCTATTTTGGCTCCCTGTTTTTTCCCCTCCACACAAGTCTAAGCAGATAAGATATCCAGAGAGAGAAGAAATTTGTCAGACAAATTGACGTGAGAAGAAGCGAAGGGGAACTGGTATCTTCTATTAGCTTTTCCCCTATAAAGAATAATTTTGTTTCATTATCTTTTCTTGGCCTTTCCCCAGTTCTTTCTCTAATTATTGGGCCACAAAAAGTTCAATTCTCATTCTACTTCTGCTCTGAATAAGAAAATGACAAAAAAAAACATATATATATATAATTAATCATGGCTTAATTACTGTTTTACTCTCTAAAACGGGCGCTTAGTCTTAATTTACCCCACAAAACTGAAAATTTCTCACTTAGCCCCTCAGAATCTCTAAAAAGTATGTTCTTATTTTTAAAGATTTACTACACCGACCCAGTCACTCCAAACCCATCCCTCCCCATGCCCGATCCGATCATCATCAGCCACCATCATCCAAACCCAGCAGGCCCCACCCATGCCTAGCATTTAATAAAAAAATATGCATACCCAAAATCAAAGAGCCGAAAAAAATACGTTATACATTAAAAAATCAAACAAAAGGCACAAGAAAATCATCCAATTTGCAAAACCTATACTGAAAACTAAGGGAAAACAACACCCAACGAAGAACCTCACAAATTGAGCTATAAAAAAATGGAAATAAAACAGACCCAGATGTTGATACATAAAGATTTCTAAGCTGGGTATGTTTTTTTTCCGATGAGGTCTATAAAAATTGATATGTTTTTTCATGAATATTATTATCATCCGTGTTTGTGTGTATTGATGAAGTTTTTCAGTTTTTTATGAAGATTAAAACCTTTGGGCCCTGTTTGGTGGGCTGGACTCGACCAGACTTCTCCAATTAGTTTTGAAGCCTCCACCTCCCCCGTTCGCTGCTTAAAGCAGCGTTTGCTCTTCTCTTCTTCCCATCGCTCTTTTTCTTCTTTTGAATCTCCTCTGTGAGTTCATCACTGCCATTTTGAACGTAGATTTCTTTCCTCTGTAAATCTTTCTTTTTTCTTCAAGTATTTCGAAAAGTTCGTCATTGATTGATAGATAGTCAACTTATGATTATATAAATAATGGTAAAAATTGTGGTAGAAATTGTTACTTATAATAATATAAATAACTAATAGACAAGAAATTATGATTAAATTTTTATAATAATATAATCTAGAAGTTAGTCTTTGGTTGATAGATAGTCAAATTTTCGATAGTATAGGGGAGTGTTAAAGTTCTATTTTTGGACCCTTACATGCCCACAAATATCTGTGCAAAGAAAAATCAGTTGATCAAGACAACAAGGAAACTACTTGATCAAGACAAAAAAGACTTAGACTTGGACTTTCGTTTTTTTGGCGATGTAAGGATTAATTAAGGAAGATGCTATACGATAATTTGGTTCATTATTTACCCTTTTTTTTATACTGCTAAAATGATTGGTTACCATCTCAATTTTCATTGCTATATATAAAAAATAAAATAAAATTGTTCCTCTGTTCTTGTTGGTATTCTTCAAATTCAATCTTATCTCTTGTATCTTTCAGTGATTAATATTACATCTTAAAACCATAACAGATATTGGAACACTAAGATCAATTTAAAACTTGTAGCTGAAAAAAAATTGAAGATGGTAAACATGTTGTGAGTTCATTGAACAATTAACTTCTAGGCTTGCAGTGCATGATCTTGTTAAGTTTGTGGATGCAGAGAACATCTAGATTTTTCTTGATTGCATTTGATTAGCTAAATTGTCTAAGTTTGTGGACGAAGAACCGTGTGGACCGGTCGCTTCCTCTGCCAATGTTTTTCACTCCATGGCCTTATTTTTCATTAGTGAAATACAATGTGAAGTGGGCCCTATAAGGGTGTCCCTCAAATAACTTATTTGAAGAATCCCACAATGGAAGCTCTCTGCATATAAAAGATATTTGAACTGCAGTGTGCAAGTCCATTTTCAGGCAAAGCGCCATATTCATTAAACCACGAAGATGCATTGGATCGGGTTTGATTTTTGAGCACATGGAGATCAGTAGAGCTTAGTTTCATTTGTAATATTATGTCATTTCTTTGCTTCATTTAGCAATGGTTCTTCTTCGCTTGGTGTATAATTGAAGAAAGAAAACTTCAGAGTGCTTGAAATTATTTTTTGAGATTTTCTATTTAAACCCCACACTTTTCTTTGTTCACCCCAGTACTTAAATCATTAAGCTGTAAGTTTTATTATTGTGTAAAAAGATAAAAAAGGTCATCCAACTTAATACTTAACCCTAGTACATCTATACACACACCCCACACACCCCATCTACATCCAATTGCCAGATTACTCTTCTCTTTTAAAGATGTAGAACATTGAGGAGCCTACCTCTTTAAAATCTGCGTGGAAGCTGATGAAAAATCTCTTTTATTTCTTATTTTTTCAGCTTGAGGTGTATTTAAGGGTATTTTGGGAAGATAGCGGGGTTCTCTTAGAAATTGTGAAAATTTAAATTAGAAGTTGGGGCGAACTCAGAACATGGGGTGAACAAAGAGAAGTGTGGGGTTTAAATAGAAAATCTCTTATTTTTTTCTCTTGTACTTCTATAGTGAATTTTTAGCAATTCCGCACACTCAGTTGTAATTTGGTTCGTAACCACACTCATAGACACTCTCTGGCCACAAATAATAATATGACTTCCTAAAACCCTTATTTATAGTGGGTAGGAAATAGGATTAAAATACGAATAAAACAAGTAGGAATTGAAATAAGAATCTAAAACAAGGCTAGTTTGACATTGTTGTGATGTGAAAATAATCACAGTCAGATTTGTTGTGAGAGAAATCCGTTGTGAAAGAAAGTAGTTTGGCGTTTGGCAAACTTTTTATTAAAAGTGATGTTGGTACAATAATCAGTTTTTGAGTGTTTGGTAAATTTGTGTGAAAGTGTTGTGAGGTGTGTATTGTGACTAAAAAGAACATTATGGTGAAATAACTCTTTAATTCAAGTGGTTTTGTCCCTAATCAAGCTCACGTCATGGTGAAATAACTCTTTAATTTAAAGTATCATTTTTTTTCTTCTTTACTCATGCTGTTGTTATCTTTGTATGTAGTATGAAATGAAATAAACAATCAGAAACTTTCTAACGGATTTGAGTGGGGTTTGGATTTGGATTTGGAAAGACGAGGAAACAAAGTAGGATTTGGATTTTCTCTTTTCTTTAACCTTGTTTGTGTTTTCTTGTAATTTTTTTTATATTCAAGTATTAATGAGAGATTATGCTTTATCATCAGGTCAATATCTCCAACAGAATGACATATACAAGGTTTTAAAGAAACTTCCACATAATTTCTTTGTTGAAAATGGTCTAACTTTATTTTTTTTAATCTATTGATTTAATATATTATAATGCACAATAGCCAGAAGAATGATGAGACTTTAGAGTTGAAACCTTAATCAGATGTCAAATGCGTCAAGTAATTAAGAGGATTCTAAAACATTCTGGATTTAGCAGTCACCGGAAGACATCAGTATATAATATGAGCTTAATGAAAATGATAATTAACATCAATATTCTTATGGTAACATCTTCAGGTTTTTCTTAATAACACTTGGTTCACTAAATTCTCTAAGTTTGTGGATGAAGAACCATGAGGACCGGTAGCTTCTTCTGCAAGTTTCTTCCACTCCATGACCTTATTTTTCATCTTCTTACCCTTCTCTCCCTTCATTAACTCTTTGATAAGCTTCTCTACCTCATCCCTCTTCACATCATTACTAATCTCCATGCCAATGCCCCATTCATTGCAAGTATAGCGACAGTCCATTTGCTGGTCTGCGAAGAATGGCCAACAGAGCATAGGAACTCCTGCAGTAAGGCTCTCAACTGTTGAATTCCAACCGCTGTGCGTTAAAAATCCTCCAACTGATGGGTGGTTAAGGACTTGCTCTTGTGGGCACCACCCAGCTATTAGACTTCTTTCCTTAGTTTGCGTTAAAAATCCTCCGACTGATGGGTGGTTAAGGACTTGCTCTTGTGGGCACCACCCAGCTATTAGACTTCTTTCCTTAGTTTCAGCCACGAACTCAGGTGGCAAAATAGCGGATTCTCCAATAACAAGATCTGGTCTAATTACCCAAAAGAACGGAAGCTTGCTATTTGCAAGTCCCCACCCAAACTCCACAAGCTGTTCTGGTGTCATGACTGCTATACTGCCGAAATTCACATAGACAACTGAGTTTGGTGTCTTCGTGTTTAGCCACTCGAGGCATTCAGTTTCTTCTTTCCATAGACTGTATCCCACCATTTTCAAAGGGTGTTCTGGTATCTCATTGAGATGCAATTGAAGAGGGCCAATGGTGTACACATGGG